AATTTCACATATATATATATATATATATATATATATATATATATATATATATATATATATATATATATATATATAAATGTAATTCGCATTTGTTTGTTTTTGTATATCTTCTTTAAGCGGTTGGCTTAAAAAAACGTGCCACTTTGTAACGCAATAAAAAGTAGGACTAAACCAATCTTGACTTAACTACCCGTATTTTTTCCTGCGTTTTGCCTCAGCTTCGTGTATTTGCTAAGAGTTTTGATTGGTTCACTGTGTTGTCTGTGTAATATATGATTAGCCAGTTGTACCATTCGTGATTTTGGCCAGTTTGGCCAGATTGGTTTTAAGACACTCAACGGAAAATCGCTCTATCTAAATGTTAAACAAAATAGAACTCTCGTTTCACCATCCGATAGCTCCTAGATGGCACATTAATCAAATTAGGTGAATATCTTGGAACCTACTCAATGTATTTCTCCCTCTCTACTCTGGTCATGTTCAAAAGAGGCTCGTAAATCGCTCGATCTACTGACAGTTCCTCAGTTCCGTTAAGCAAAGACATGAGATGGTCTATAAGGACGTCTCTCTGCAGTCCACTGTACGAAAAGGAAGTCTTGTACTCCTCATACTCGCAGGGTTCGGGGCAGTCCATATCGCATTCAATCTTCTTGCGTGAGGTACCAAACTCTTCTACAAGAGTAACTGATTTTGTATCAGTTTGGACAACTTATTATAATTATGGAGGAATATTTTAGTTCAAGGGCGGGTGGATCAAAAACTGCGACTCAAAAGCTTGACTCTTCAGACAGGCCATACTGGCAAACTGTTTCAAACGTTGCTTTCAACGCAAACGTTTCTTTGTTTCTTCGTTTGTTTGTTAGTTATATAGTTCTGAATGGTTTATCGCATAAGTTGAATCAAGAGACTATAGGTAAGAGAGTAAATCGGCCTTATACCCAAGTTAATCCTTCTTCAGTTATTTTTAGACATGGTACCCAGTTCTTCCGAGGATGTTACTCGCGCGATGCGTGGACAGCCAAAGCGACTTTCTCGCAACTAGCTGAGACGAAATGGCGGGAAACTATGAGGTGGCGAATGTCATCTCATTTTTTTCGATTTTGAAAAGACCTTTCATAGCACAGAGGTTTTCTGCACTCTTAGCCTCCCTTATATTCGGCTGGGCCTTCGTTTGCTTTGTGCTCGTTTGGCTGTTCGATTCGTTCTTTTGCTGTTGATTCGGCTTTTTGGAGATTAAATAAGCAAACCACAACTGTGTACGGTTGTGTACGCGTGCGTTATAATTCCTTGTTCATTTCTTTGCCGTTCTTTACAAAACAACAACATGAAAAGGCCACATTCTGCGTATTCGAGGGAACGTGAACTACAGCGGCTGATTTTTAGAACTTCTTTTTTGAATTTCGACGCTTTCTTACATATTCTGTTTGGAATATCTCTGACAGTGATAGTAGTGATGGACAAACTGATTAAATCTAAATTCTTGCGAGATTCGTATAGGCTGAATGAGAGGTGTCTTTGTCCGGCGTTGTTGTTCTTGTTGCTTCAAATCCCTTTGCTGTTTTGAGCAGCGATCTTCTGTCTGTACTTTAGACCATCTGTATGTTTGTTCATCTGCGTTGTGTTCGGGCGTTCGTTTGTTTTGCACTCGTTTGGATGCTCATTTTTCTGCTGTTTATTCAGTTGTTATTGTTTGTTCAGGGGACATCTGTCTCTTATTTAAACTCCTATTAAAGTTTCGAAATGTATTAAAACATAGCGAAGGCCGAAGGAAGCTCCTTTGCTGCTTTGATATTAAAATATAAGAGAAGACATCACAGCGCTGGAGGTCTTCCTTCGCTTTGAAACAAAAAGAAACATAAAGAAATCCTCCACGAAAACATCCACGCAACGCGCGAGTAACATCCACGGAAGAACTGGGTACTATGTCTAAAAATAACTTAAGAGGGATTACCTTGGGTATAAGGCCTCTATCGGCTATATCGGGATTCACTCTCTTACCTTGATAATCCATTGGTCGAATTAATTAGAGCGACTATTTAGTTGACTTTTACATTTAGTCATTCTAAGCGTATGCTTTCATGTCCGTTTCTACTTGTGTCAAATAGTACTGGATTGACATACCGTATGATCGATAAACACAGAGAACTGTGTCATTCGGTGCACAGAGAGGAACTGAAGAGTGGGCTAAACAAAAAGCAAAAGCAATGGTTAGAATAATAATTGCCATTAATTATATACACGATCAGTGATGCCAGCGCCGATGAAAATCAGAGCTGTAGATTATATTCTTACAAATATTAAGACTAACTGCCAGAGTAATTTTATACAACCACTTTGCAAGCTCGGAGCAAATTTTTCCTGCTACTTTGGTTTGCACTTTGAGTAACTTTAGGTTGGATGTGTGTACCAGGGCTTACCCCTGTAATTAGCTTCTGGTGCAGGGGGAGCTTCTTTTCGATGTACGGAGGATATACATTTGAGTATCTGACTTTCATTGTTTCAATGCATTGCGCCGGTCGTTGAAGGTGAAATATTACATTTGAACCGCGCTTTCTAAGGCCTCACGAACGGCATCGCCTAGCTAGTTTATATATGTCTCGATTTGCTCTTCTTGAGGAAATAGCTTACAATCTTGTCATTACTTGTGTGAGGTTCTGTTAGGGTGAGATGGCCGGTTCATACCTTTAAGTCCTTTAAATTCAAGTGGAGTACAGCCGCAGGTTTCGATGGTGTACTCGTTGCGACAGTTCAAGAGACAAGCTGCTTTGGTGTAGGCAGTGTACGAGTTGCTGTTAAACACGGCAAGGGATCGTTTTGTGCAGTTAGTTGCATAGGGCTTTTCCAAGTTAATTATCTGTAATAAAAAGGATATGTTAATAGTAATGCATCTTGCCAAAAAACTAGAACTTATACACACTTTATTTAGACTCGATAAAAGCATCAGTTATAAGATTGAGATAGTAAAAGAAAACTGGTTGACATGTTTGCCGTGTGGGAGTACGAGGAGGACAGTTGGCGATTTATCTCATATCTTAAGTTAATAAAAAATGTAATGGCTCTGACGTTAGATGGAAGGCTATTCCACGAATGTGCCCCAACGTAGCAGAAACTACGTTTCAAAAAATCGCTACGGGGCTTAGGCAGAGCCAGTTTGTTTTCACTATTTTTAAGTCCATAGTTCGCGCTGAAGGGTTTAAATAGGCATTTCAGGTACTCCGGAGACTGATCATTCAAAGTTTTAACCATCAATTTCAATTTTTTTCTTTTTCCTTCTGATATAGAGATTAGAGTCAGAAGACAGGCTGAAGAGGGGGATAGAGGAACTGATTTTTAAAAATGCATACTATTTGTTTTGTTTTGGTTTTTTTTTTTTTTTTCATTTACCTTTCTTCTCTTTATGGCGCAAAGGGTAGAAACACCCGGTTGAACTTTAATGCCAAACTCTTCCACAATTGGAAATGTCTTCTGGTCATGTAAGAGAATTACAAGCCCTACAAACGGGTTTAAAGTATTCTTCAGATAGCCCTCACGTTCAATATTGAGTCGAAGCTTTAAACCACTGTATTGGCCGGCTATGGTTGCTTGTAGCGGTGGATTGCTGACTTCTGCAGAATTGAACGTGTAGCAATTTCCGAACATGAAGCTTTGGTAACTGGAAAAGTTCTTTGCGTCGCAGCGCTCTCCATTGAAGGAGCAAGACTCGAAATGCGGACTCCCTGGTAAAAGCATTTCTTCAATTTGATGGCTAAATAGCCCTTGTAACTGCTTTGTAGTATTGGCGGTGCTTTGGCGAACAAAAAGCCCGGGATTGCGATTTTGGAAGTCTTGGCTTGATATCTCTTTGGATCGTCTTGACAAAAGAGTAATGTCTTTCAATTTTCTCTCAATTATCGATCTGTTTTCATGCATTGACATCATTTGCACGTATCTTCGAGTGTTGAGGGAATTGAGATTGCACAGCGTTACAGCGGGGAAGAGAACGCCGTCATCAGTGCTGGTATTAGCTGTTATTTTCGTGTTGAAAGGTCGTTTGTTAAATTCACTCACACAGGTGAAAACTTGATAGCAGCAATGACCGAAGCACACTATAACAGCCACGGTCCATAACAGTCTTCTGAAAATGTTGTTAGCGAACAAAAATCTAGCCCCGTGTAGAGTTGTATCTTGTGCAAACGATTTAAGTTCTTCCATTTTTCCGTGACTGCCGTTTGCCTTTTTATCTTCGGTGTCTTTCCTTGTGGGATTGCGTCCGTATGGATCATTTGTCCCACTAATGTGCTGTACAGAAACCATTATTGCATCGGTTTTTTCTTTTTTGTTTCTTTGGTCACATGATGGAGGTTTTGGGAAGTTAAATATTTTACGGAGACGCCACTTGTCCTCAACATATACCTTGTTTACACTGATTACCTACTGTTATAGAAATGAGGTCACAGTAACGTTTACAGTACAAAAGGCTTAATTATTTATATATTTTTCGTTAATTAAAATTCGTTAAAGGCCTTAGGTCATCAGTTATTGTCGGCAGTCTTCAAAGTTGAAGACTGCATGGGTAAAATAAACTTCCCAGTAGGAAATGAAACGCATGGGCTCAGTAGGCATCTGCTGAATTGTTTACCAAGTGATATAGAAAACTGCATTCAGTTTTGTTTTAATTATTTAGTTCTTATCGTTGTGAAAGTCTCCCCGTCTTTGTTTTCTTAATTCGAATCCGGTACTGAATCATATACGCCATGGGAGAAATAATAAGGCTCTACCGATGCGAGCGTGTTTTAATTAATATTTCTAGCTCTCACGTTCTCTTTTGCATTTCAGACAGGCCTTCTTAAATTTGATTAGA